AAAGCGTCTTCAGGAATGGGAGCGACAGCAGAGCTATTAGCATTACAATGCGAGTTCTGTAACAAGTATGTCCGGATACTAAGATAAATCTATAAAGTAACTGCCATCCTACTCTACTTTTTGTTGAACAGGTTTATTCGTTGATTCCTCTCTATATAAAAAAGAATTTTCTTCGTAAACATGTTCACAAGCCATCTACCCATTCTGGGACTGATGACCACCAGAAGGGTTTCAATGTTTTGCTTCCTAGCTGACAAGTGTAGATTTTTCATATAGCTGGAAAAGTTCAAACGCTGGCAGGTGTTGCGCCTGACTGGATAATGACTGAACTCAAAACACTGTTGGAAGTCAACGGCCATCCAGCAATTATGAAACCGCTTGTTCTATCATAGACATAAAATAGATTATTGGAGGTATTCTAACAAACAGAAGCAAAAGTGATATTTCCGATAATATGCACGATTGCCATTAGGCACTCAATCCTGGATTACCAAAGTTTGCGGGCACTCCCGATACAGAAGCCGGAAGATATTCTGAAGCCCAAACACGGTTGACGTTTTTTTCGAAAATCGGTCTGCTCCACGTGAACATACAACTCCCATTATATCCAGTTTCAGTAGCACTGACTACAGTGTATGGAATTAAGCAACCGTAACAGCGCAATGTACACGTCATTTATAACTAATATTATTTCATAGAAAGGTTGTAAAGGTATATCCTAGGTTGCGCAGCGTCACGGAGTGTAACATGGTTATCCCAAGAGGGATGCAGGAAGTTCAAAATGATGCTAAAAAACGTTTATTTTAATAGAAATTTAGATTAATTAGATGTGGAGTAGATAATGTTCGAATGAGTATGCGTTGATTGAATGAGATAGAAATGGCAAGACGTGATTAGGAATGCCATAAGAACAAAAAGCTTTTCATCAGTAGTTTGGAATAAAGAACCGAGAAACAAAGAATATCACAGAGGAAAAAAGGTAATGGGTTAAGTAGAGCAATTGTGCTTAGTGTCCAACGGTTATGGAAAAGGTAAGATTTGAATTAGCGTTCTGTCTGATCTCAAACAGGTTGGCTGAATGGCATTAGCAAGTAGTTTTACGAAGGTATTTTTGGTTTCAGTTATATTTTCGCTACTAGTTCTGCTGCACAAAATGACTACTGGATAGGTTGTGAAATCGTTCGCGAGCAACAGGAATACGATTGCTAGGCCAGTTTTGCAAAACCTGTATCCTGTAGGGACCTTACACTCCGTCATTGAACTGC